AGGGTCGAGGTGCTGGTGGTTTGCAAAATCAACTTGTCAATAGAGCACTGGAAGGTTTATCTGGTGGTGGGAGAGGTGGTCCTAGAGGCAGAGGCAGAGGCAGGGGTTGGGGTGGTCGTGGAAGAGGAAGAGGGAGAGGATATTGGTAACTTTATTACTATGGTGATGTAGAAAACATCACATTTCACTAAACTGTACCAGAATACGTATAGGACCTATTGATGTCAGGATTTTTTTTATTATAGAGGAGGATGAGTTTTTTACATTTGGTCCTTGTACTTTCTCCTAAGCTTGTTTATTTAGAATGCCGAGTTATTGTTCATTTCCAATGCATTTGGTGCAAGCAGCAGATGTTGACCAGTTGTCGAGACTTCTTATTCTTCTAGGTATGTGTGAATGTAGTAATTTGATCAAATTGCATTGTGAAGACCATGTCTGACCTATAGAATGTTGCCTTTTTCAAGCATTATAAAAAAGTTTTTTAGTGCATGCAAGTGCATTTAGTGTGTCAGTCTTGAAAGTTGCCAACGTTCATAATACTTTCATTCTAAATTTCTAATGTTTGTAGTAACGGTTTCATCATGCTCAAGAATCCTTTATAAAAAAGATTTTGACCAAGGAACAGGAGCAGGATACTAAACAAAAAACCGCACTATAATAATATATATGGACTTCCTTTCTTCCTAAAATGAGTTACCTTCCATTATCTAGAGTTGAATGAAAATACATTAGTTTTAATTCCTAGTTATCATTAACTATGACCAGGAGTTATTTGATTTGGTGATGGGGAAGAGTGGATTATGACTTCTAGTAACTGAGAATCCGTTGTCTGCTGATGCTCCGGGGTATTAGTGTTGCTCATAGAATCCCACCTGGAAGAACAGTCAGTAACAACTTCCTGTGCCTTTGCTTCGCCATGCTTTCTGCTACATATTTTCTTAGCCAATTTGACAGCCCTTTTCCAAGGATTAGGGGTGTCATTACCTTGTTCATTATTTTGAGGTGTTTGACTATATTTTAGCGAATAGATGATAGAAAGTATAAAACAGATTGTAGAAGTGCCTCCAGAAATTACATATAGAACCCATAAATTTCCAAGCTTCAAAGTTTCTACATCGGTGGAAATCACGGTGCTGGTACACTCGCCTGAGGGACTCAACCATTTATCTTCCAATTTCTGAATTTCTCCTTGTTCTAAGAGCTGCAATATAGCTTTAGAAACGTCTTTGGCAACTGGGGAGCCTTTCTGGAACATCTGCAACATGGTATTGACAAGAAACTTAGTATAATTTGTAAAAGATACAAATACATTGTAATACAAAGTTCGTCTGAGAGCATGCCTGCTAGTGGTTAAGGTTAAGTGGTAGAAAATGAAAATTCAAGATAGATAGTTTTTAAAGGAGTTCTGATGTCACTTACAAATCCCAGTCCTCCAAATCTGGTTGTTGGTACAGAGCCAGAGTATCCCTTGCAGTATTTACTGACATATACTTTTTCATAAGGTAATTCGAGAAAAGCAGCAGTTATTAAGTGGTTTTTGAATGCAGTGGAATAATTGTAGTCATTACTCATGTGTACGATGCTCTCTGGCTTGAACCCTTCTACATTCTCTAGGTATGTCCTAACAAATGAATCTCCATCACAACCAATTTTCGCATTGTTCTTCTTCAACCACTCAATGTCTGTTGCATTTGGCTTTAATTGTTGAACTGTGAGCATTGAAGAAAGACTGGCAGTGTAGCTTGAGTTAAGAATCAAAACTAGAAAGAGCCATGCTCCCATCACCACACGAGTTAAGCTGCTATACATTTTCTCCCCTGCTAAACATGAAACCATTGACATCTATTCAGTGTGATTCACATTTGCAATACATTTGTTTTTATAATAGTATTTTACAGATATATTTTTAATTCTGAATACCTAACCTGCTTTTTCCATATCTATGCTTGATAAATATTGTTAATTGAAGTATGAGATTGAATGATTAATACTCACTATGTGCAAAGAATAGAGAGGAGAATGTAAACCAAAGTGCAGTCCCCATCTGGCTTTTCCAATTGCCATCAAACTCTGGATTTTGTTTCCGCTCCAGGGACCACACTACCAACATTGTGTAAGTAAATATGGCACCAGTTACCACCCACATCTGCCAAGTGAAGGGCTTCAGAAACATCAATGCTGAATCTTCCGACTTTTGCGGCACTATCATTGATAATCCTGATTCTGCATATGGCACTGTAAAATCTACATACTGCAATCTTTCTGCTAGTAGTGTTATATCACCAACTACAGCCTCAAAAGTCTTCAGCCATTATTGATCCACATGAAAACCATAGAAGTATCTAGGTTAGTATTTAGTAAAGAAAAAAGATGAAAAACTGTTGTACCCAAAATTTAAAGTTAACAAGATTCAATGTTGCATTGACATGTGAAGGTTTTATTTCATTGCTGATTAGATAAGTGAACTTAGTTATATATAGGCTTGACATGATTTGAATAGAAAGAAAAATTAGTCACACAAAGGGGTTGTTTCTCCCCACATGGAGAACACCAAATTAGAATTACACAAGCAAATAGAAACACCAAATTGATTGAAAGAATTACTGGCATTTTGTGGCATCTAAACAAAACTTAATCATAGTTAACACTGCACAAGAAATATGTGGCTGCAATTTGCTTATCGATAAACCGCTCATATACATTTGACTAATTTCTAAACATTATTTGGGGTGATTAGAATTCATGGACAAATATTTTAATCAGATCTTTAAGTAACCTAATCTAGATTATGAAAGACAGATAAGTTATTTAATTCTCCAATATTTTCAAGTTGAAATGTAAGATATCCAATACTATCTTGTGTCACAGAAATTAGAATTGTTTAAGTTTAGCAATACAAATGAAAAAGAAATTAGGATAGAAATAAGATAGCAAGTTGTTACCATTTGAAATATTACAGTCTATTCCACATTCCTAGTGTATCAAATTCTAGTAAAACTCAGAAGTAAAATTGCTAAGTTGTTACCTTGTTGTAGACAAGTTGAACCAGGTCAGGATAGGATCCGTTGATGGGATAGTACTCAAATGGCAGATCATACTCTAGAAGTTTTAACACCTTTTCAAAAATCTCAATGCAGAATCCACTATATTTAATTGGATTTCCATCCTCTCCATAATCAACCTTTACAAACTTGGAAAAAGAGGTTTTTCCAGGGACTGCTATTTTCATTGGATTTTGTTTAGTAGGCAGATTCCATCCCTTTGGAACTCTCTGAACCAATTTCCCTGGCCAAATTATTACACCACTTAAACTTTTAGTGTTCCTATAAGCATTGTTGCTACCTTGTTCTGTAGAGAGATTAGTGGTGAAGCCTTGTTCCAGAGTCCAAAAGTCTAATTCTCTGTAACTCTTCCCATCTACATTTACAATCCTTAAGGTAGGATTCTGTAATAGCTGCATTCCTTCAAATTGAATTTCTCCACTTAAACCAAGGTAATTGGTAGACAATATTTCACTTAATAAAGTATTTTTGCCACTACTATCCCCACTAGCCATTCTATTTAGTGCTTGTCCTATAATCTTAATGCTATCATATGCTTGTAGTGCATAAAACCCTGGGTTTCGGTTATCTTCCTCAGGATACTTCTCCCGGAAAATTCTTCGGAATTGAGCCTCAAAATATTGATACTCACTGTTATTTTCAGAGTAGTATGTCTTGATTCCTAACGCTCCCTCCATATAGGAAATGTCAACTTTATTGACATACTCTAGGGAATTGGTTATTCTCTCTGGGATTATCCAAACTGATTCTTTATCCACTAGTCCCATTTGTGAAGCTTCTCTGAACAAATAACTCACCATATCTAATGATGATTGCATAACAATGAACACTCGAGATTGTGTACTTTCAATTAACTTCAGCAGCTCTTCACGAATAAACTCTCCAGGATTAGACATATAAGAAGATGATGGGAGAGCTAATCGGTACTCGATAATTGAACCATCAACTTGGAGGGCCTCAGATAGCAGTGCCAGAATTCCATAATCTCCACCATAACCATCATCTTCGTAAATGGCTACTACTCGCTGCCACCCGTAAGCACGCACTATATCTGCAATACATTTTACATATGCAGTACCATTGTTAGCTAGTGTCACCAAATAGGGCCAACGAATCGGCATCATTTGTGGGGTAATGGAAGGTGCTGCAAATGATATGATAGGAACTTGAGCTTGGCTTCCTAGTTCAGCCATTTGAGTTGCTTCTATCCATTTATGCATACCAACAATTACTTGTACCTTCTGCTTTTTGATCATATTTTCAGCTACAAGAAATAATAGATTTTCATTAGTTACATATTTAAGTAAATTAAGCATAAAGGCATGAAAACCTGGAGTCTTCTCTTAGAAAATGGTACATATTACTAACCAAGAGCAGTAGCTTTGAAATGATCATTGGATAGGTCCTGAAAATGGAGAGCTAATTTGTAAGAGTTTGAAGTGTTATTGTAACTTTGAGCTGCAATGTCCATTGCTACTTGCTGTTCTTTTCCAATACGAGAGTTAATATCTATGATTGCACCAATTGATATAACTTTGCTGTCAGCATTTGTGGCCTTAGCTTGGTAGCCATTAATGAGAGCAAAGGGGATGAGTAAACAAAAGGAGAAAAGTGCTTGTGGAATAGTTGAATAATGAAAATTCATTATTGTGCTTTAGTATATTTGGCTTATGAGTTATTATGACCTTTATGGATTTGTTTGAGGAAAGGCTGGCAATGAAAAAAGGAAATAAATAAGATAAAAAAGATTCTGATGGGGTCATGGAACTTGAACTTTGGACTTAGTCAATTATGAAGATGTTGAATGGCTCCTCCAACTTAAAGACAAAATTGACTATGAGGAAGGTTGGCAATTGGAATCACAGAAAAAGTCACTATAAGAACCCAAGAATATGAAATGTAAACCAAATATTGAAGGTATCTAGAATTATGAAGAAATTTGGGAAGATAACAGAATTGTTGGGCTTGTAAAATTGCTGGAATCTTGATAGATAGAAGACTTTGAATAGTAAGTTAAATTTATGTGTTACGTAATATGAGAAAAAGATATATGCATCAACAATACAAAAGTTTCATTACATTACTCACTATTCATTTTTATTCATCATTTCATTGACTATTAAATAAAAGTAATATAAATGGTGAATGATGCACTAACTAACTGTATATATTTCTTTATGTTATGAATGGATAGATATTACAGTTTATGAAGTTTGGTAATTCTAGAAATTCATGAGCACTTCAATGTGAGCAAGTGAGATTATTAGCTAGTTGAGATTGGAACGCATTTGAAAATACATGAAGGTAAGTACACCCTTAATTGCTCATACTGCACCTTAAATTAGCTATTTATTGTGGTAATTAGGTGAATATAATTACTTCGAAATTGAGTTGTACTCTTTCTTGATTATTTCTTTTACATATAATCTCTAATATATTATTAACCTAAATTTAATTCAATACACCCTTACAAAGTCAATGGGTGTATCTTTATTACTCAATAATTTTAATTTACATAGATTCCTGCCGTATTCTAAAAGCTAAGTATAAATATATAGTTTAACAGTTATCAATGTTAATATAATATCTTCATATCTTATGAGAATGTCATTCGTGATGTAGTAGGTAAGTTGTTTGGTGGATATATTTAAATCATGGAAGCTACATCTATACTTACTAAAATAAAATTGTGTATAATTTTTCTTTCTTGATAACAGAGATTTGTTTTTCAAAATTTTATCTCATACACATGAAAACATATCATTTCAATTAAAAAACTGACTCGGTAATATTATAATTTCAAAAGGAAGACGTAGCTCAAGTAGTACGTACATGTTCCAAGTATTTCGTATTCTAATATTGTCTCATTCTAATGGTGTTTTTGTTTTTTTGCTGTGACAACGTCAAGTCATGGCAGAACAATTTCCTGCTATCCTTCGTGTCTAAGAGTGACACAATGTTCCATAGTTTACTCGGTTTTGTTCTTTTATAAACAAATTTAATCAATTTCATGCACAAATTAGTTAAATGTCATTTAATTGCTTCCATTTAATAAAAAATATGCAATCGATCATTTAATTGTTTCCATTGGAAAATTGTACAAGTAATTACATTTGTTTATATTCAAGATGAAAAACTATTGATGTTTTATAATTGAGGTTGAAGGGAGTATAATTTAGAAAGGCTCACTATAAATAAATCAAAAGCTAGTAGTTTAGAAAGGCAACATATAGTAAAGATATGAAAATAGTAAATTTATTTGAAACAATGGCATATCTACCTCCAAATATTTCCAATAAATGAATGGGAGCCTTACACTCAATAGTGAAATATCTATTAATGATAAGCGTAAAAATTTATATATAATCAATACATTATCTATCATTCATTTGTATTATTATTTTTCTTAAAAATCAATCATAAATAATATATAATATAGTAATAATGTATAAAACTTGAATATATTTTTTCACTCTGCATTCAACCACCATTTTCAATCAACATTGAACCTTAAAATTTGGATGATTTTTTTTTGTAAGTGGGCAAAACAGGTGGGATGACCTCCTATTTTAAAATCTGGCAAATCACAGTGAGATTACAAATCTATTCTTGTGTGATATGCCATTAACCTCTTGCCATATGCACATGTTTCACATTTCACTCTAACCATAATACAAGTTTCACATTTCATTTACTATCCATAATTGATTATGTGAAAATTTGATGGGAAAAAGTAACTAACTAATTTGTTTCAAATTCCCTATTTAACTTAAAGTTTTTAATAAACTTACTTCATAAATCAAATGAGTTGAACTTAGTTAAAAATTGAATCTGTTAAATAAATGAGTCAAACTAGAACCAAATACAAATCAACTTATTAAGTTTATGAGTTCACTCAATTATATATATATAAGAAAATGAAAAATATTTCCGATATAAAAATTATGAGAACAATAAATGAATGTCATACAAACGTACATAAATGATTAAAATTAAATAATAATTAATGATTATATGATCACTTAAAACATACTTCATATCTTGATTATTCTTTAAAAATCTAATGGTTTGAAATTTTGGAGTGATTAGGCTGCATAGTTAGGATTCAAATCCAGATTACATTGACTTGTCAGCTTAAATTTGTGAAGCTGAATTAACTTTTAACATTTGTAGCTGTGATTATTTGGAGTTGTCTGACACGAGTTGCAGTGAATGTCACTATGCAATTTCTACCGAGTCTTCTTAGATATGTACATAAGAAGGGAATCTTGCACTGTGTGAACTTCATTGAATTCATCGTTGTCATGGTGAATTCACCCCAAACTTTTAGTTGAGCAGTAGGGTTTTGCAAAGATTTCAATATGAATAAGAGGCCTTTTAGCAAAGGTTCATTATGGAAAAAATTGTGAGTTTCATTCATCTTGTGCTTTGATGCATTCTCTCCCTACTATTTGCAATAAGAAACTTGCAACTTTCATTCAAAATTTCTAATGTTTGTAGTAACTGTTTCATCATTCTCAAGAATCCTTTATAAAAAAGGTAATGACCAAGAAAAAGGAGCAGGATACTAAACAAAAAACCGCACTATAAAAATATAAATTTACAACCTTTATTCCTAAAATCAGTTGCTTTCCATTATCTAGAGTTGAATGAAAATACAATAGTTTTAATCCATATTTATCATTACCTATCTCCATGAGTTATTTGCATTGGTGATGTGGAAGAGTTTATTATGACTTCTGGTAACTGTGTCTGCTGATGCTCCGGGGTATCAGTGGTGCTCATAGAATCCCACCTGGATGAACAGTCAGTAACATCACCCTGTGTCTTTACTTCACTATGCTTTCTGCTACATATCTTCTTAGCTAATCTTACAGCCCTTTTCCAAGGATGTTCATCATTAGCGGTGTCATTACCTTGTGCATGATTTTGAGCTGTTTTATCTTTTATGGAATAGATGATAGCAAATATCAAACAGAGAGTAGAAATGCCTCCAGAAATCGCGTATAGAACCCATAAATTTCCAAGATTCAAAGTTTCTGCATTGGTGGACATCACGTTGTTGGTGCACTCGCCTGAGGGATTCAACCATTTATCTTCCAGCATCTTAATCTCTCCCTGTTCTAATAGCTGCAATATAGCTTTAGAAACGTCTTTGACCACTGGGGAGCCTTTTTGGAACATCTACATCATGGGATTTCAGAAAAATTAGTATAATTTGTGAAAGATACAAATACATTGTAATACAACATATTTCCTTCGCGGCCGGAGCTTAAAGTTAAGTGGTAGATAATAGAAATTCAAGATAGATAGTTTATAAAAGAGTTTTGCTATCACTTACAAATCCCAGTCCTCCAAACCTGGTGGTTGGTACAGAGCCAGAGTATCGGCTGCAGTATGTATTGACGTATACTTTTTCATAAGGGAGTTCGAGAAAAGCAGCTGCTATTGAGTTGTTTTTGAATGAACTGGGATACATGTCTTCACTACTAATGTTTATGATGTTCTCTGGCTTGAACCTTTCCACATTCACTAGGTAAGTACTAACAAATGAATCTCCATCACAACCAATTTTCGCGTTGTTCTTCTTCAACCACTCAATGCTTGTGATATTTGGCTTCAGTTTTTGAACTGTGAGCATTGAAGAAAGACTAGCTGTGTAGCTCGAGTTAAGAATCAAAACTAGAAAGAGCCATGCTCCCATCACCAAACGAGTGAAGTTGCTATACATTTTCTCCCCTGCAAAAAATGAAACCATTGACATCTATTGAGTGTGATTCACATTTGCAATACATTGGTTTTTATAACAGTATTTTACAGATATATTTTTAATTCTGAATACCTAAGCTGTTTATTTCCATATCTATGCTTGATAAATATTGTTAATTGAAGTACGAGATTGAATGATTAATACTCACTATGCGCAAAGAATAGAGAGGAGAATGTAAACGAAAGTGCAGTCCCCATCTGGCTTTTCCAATTGCCATCAAACTCTGGATTTTGTTTCCGCTCCAGGTACCAAACTACCAACATTGTGTAAGTCAATATGGCACCAGTTACCACCCACATCTGCCAGGAGAAGGGCTTCAGAAACATCAATGCTGAATCTTCATACTTTTGGGTAGTTACCATTGATAATCCTGATTCTGCATATGGCACCGTAAAATCTACATATTGCAATCTTTCCGCTAGTAGTGTTATATCACCAACTACAGCCTCAAAAGTCTTCAGCCATTATTGGTCCACATGTCAACCATAGAAGCATCTAGGTTAGTAAAGCAAAAAAGGTGCTAATGTTGTACCCAAATTTCAAAAATACAAGATTCATTGTTGCATTGACATGTGAAGGTTTTATTCAGCGCTGGTTAGATAAGTGAACTTAGTAATATATAGAATTGCCTTCCTTTCAATAGAAAGAAAGAGTAGTCACATAGAGGGGTTGTTTGTCCCCACGTTGAGAACACCTTGACATTTTATATGTTATTGTTTTATTAGTATGACACCATAGGAAACATCCATATGTTGGAATATTAGACATCAAATTCCAGCAAAACACAAAAGTAAAATGGCTTAGTTGTTACCTTATTGTAGACAAGTTGAACCAAGTCAGGATAGGATCCGTTGATGGGAGTGTACTCAAATGGCAGATCATACTCCAGAAGTTTTAACACCTTTTCAAAAATCTCAATGCAGAATCCAGTATATTTAACTGGATTTCCATTCTCTCCATAATCAACCTTTACAAACTTGGAAAAAGTAGTTCTTCCGGGGACTGCTATTTTCATTGGATTTTGTTTAGTAGGCAGATTCCATCCCTTTGGAACTCTCAGCACCAACTTCCCAGGCCAAATCACTACACCACTTAAACTTTTGGTGTTCATATAAGTATTGTTACTACCTTGTTCTGTGGAAAGACTAGTGGTGAAGCCTTGTTCCAGAGTCCAAAAATCTAATTCTCTGTAACTCGTCCCATATACATTTACAATCCTTAAGGTAGGATTCGGTAAGAGCTGCATTCCTTCAAATTGAATTTCTCCACTTAAACCAAGGTAATTGGTAGACAATATTTCACTTAGTAAAATATTTTTGGCACTACTAACCCCCTTGGCCATTCTATCTACTGCTTGTGCAGTAACTTTAATGCTATCATATGCTTGTAGTGCATAAAATCCTGGGTTTCGGTTATCTTCCTCAGGATACTTGTCCCGGAAAGTTCTTCGGAACAGAGCCTCAAAATATTGATACTCACTGTTATTTTCATGGTAGTATGTCTTGATTCCTAATGCTCCCTCCATATAGGAAATGTCAACTTTATTGACATACTCTAGCGAATTAGTTATGCTTTCTGGGATTATCCAAGCTGATTCTCTATCCACAAGTCCCATTTGTGAAGCTTCTCTGAACAAA